TCCACTCGCCGCCGCCGGACAGGCCGGTGACCTCTCGGCCGCCCCGCCTCAGAGGCTCAGATGGCTCAGGCCAAGATCAACGCGAAAGCCAACGAGGGCCGCTTCTGCCGCTCCTCCTCCATGGCCGACCGCTCCAGCCGCCTGCTGGAGAGCCTGGACCAGCTGGAGCTCAGGTGAGGGCGCGGGCCCGGCCGGCGGGGGCGCGCGGGGCGCGGGCTCGACCCTGGTGTTCCAGGGACACGGGCAGTTTTGTTTCTCGGGGGCTTTTCTCCCGAGAGAAAACGCTTTGGGTTTCAGCAGCACCCCGGGAGCGCCTCTTTGGCGGCCACGTGCTCCCTAACAGACCGCAGCGTTTGGGAGCGGAGCAAAACCGGAGGCGATGAAAGTGACGTCATTTGAGATGAGGGACGGTGACCCTCGGGGTCCACAGCACTTACCGAACCTTCTGGGCGCCGGTCTGCGGTCTCCCCGAATGTTCCCAGCTTGCCCATTCCCTGCCGGGCGTTTTCAGCAGAGGCGGCTGGGAGCCGTCCTTGGGGGGAACGACCGGTTTCCTTTGCTCCAAAACACTTGGCAGCGCAACGTTTGAAAACCCAGGAATGCACCCGAGAGCAGGGGCTAGAGAGGAGCCGGGTGCCGGGGAGCTTGCACTTTGTGGAGTAGACACAGCAGCCCCCGCTTCCCCGGGCCCTGCGTGCGCCCCGTTAGCGCCTCAGTGTTGACTGTGCGCCTCCTTCCACCGAGGGCTGTGCGCACCCCTCGGGCCCGGCGCTGGCCCCAAAGGGGAAAGGAAGTTTTTCCCTCCTAACTGGTTACGATGTTACTAAGTGCTTAACGTGGTGGTGGGCTTGTCTGGGGTTTCTGGGCGAGTCTTACTACATTTTGGAAATACTTGTTTCCTTTCACGGTGTATGAAGACTTCTGTGTACGTCCTGTAATCGATGGACTGAAGCCGCTGCGTAAACTGTGCCGCAGGGGAAGTTAAATGAAAATCTCCTGAAGGTCCCCACAGCCTCCTGGGACTGCACAGAGGGGTTTCCCCCCATAGTTTCACCAGGTTCTGGGTGGGCCAAGGAGTATGAGAACCAAAAATTTTCAGAAGCGTTTCATTATGTCTTTTGTCTCCCTGGCTCATACACCAAAACAAGAAGAGGTGTCTGTTTTCCAAGGCAGTGCATTAGTAACCACGGTTTATCTTCGCGAATGAGGCATTTATTATGACTAGCCCAAGAAAGGAGTCAGAATATGAGAGGTTTTCCACCCTCGATGATTTCATGGATGGCAAGAGTTAGAGAAACCTGAGCCCAAACCACTTTCGGGGGTTCTGCTGAGACAATGAGAAAAACAGAACAAGAGGAAAGTAATGCTTCTCCGTTGCTTTTAACGTTAACATCTTTATATCAACCCTCAGAGGCGGTGGAGCAAAACTAGAGATCTGTGGCCTCAGCTACTTAACGTCCCCCAGAAGAATATTTCTTTTTATGCAGCAGCATAACAAGTAACTCACAGGTCTCCCCAGGTCTTTACAACGTGGAGGGCATGTTCTCAGCCATTTCAGGGGCCTCTCTCCCCTAATCAGAAGGAAAGGGTTTTCCTTAAAGGATTGAGGGTGTTGCCTCTCCTTCTTCAAGCTGTCCTCAAACTTGAACTAATGCCCCTTGTGTGGTAGCTGCAGAAGTCAGGTGCTCGGTTGGAGCGTCATCCCATCCAACAAAAGGTGGTGGGTTCAAATCCCCGTCAGGGCACATGCCCAAGTTGGGGGTTGGATTCCGAGTCAGGGTGCATGCAGGAGGCAAACAATTGATGTTTCTCTCTCCTGTCATGTTTCTCTCTCCCTTCCTCTCTCTCAAATCAATTTTTGAAAAAATAAATTTAAAAAACGAAGTCAAGTACTCATCTCTAAAAGAAAGCCTCTGGATTTGAATTTATTATATTCTAATATTGATTAATATAAAGTGAATTCTGATTACTCTGTACAAGTGATTAAACTATAACTTTTTTTAATCCTCACCTGAGGATATGGGGTTTTTTTAAAAAATTGATTTTTGAAGATAGAGGAAGGTGGGAAGAGAGAGAGAGAAAGAAACATCGGCCAGTTGCCTACTGCGCACACCCCGACCGGTATTCAAGCCCTCAACCTAGGTATGTGCACTGACTGGGAATCAAACCCACAACCTTTCCGTGTATGGGACGATTCTCCAACCAGCTGAACCACTGGAGCAGGGCTAAACTATAACATTTTTGTTGTTAATCCGCACCCAAGGATATTTTTTCCGTTGATTTTTAGAGAGAGTGGAAGGGAGGGAGAGGAAGAGAGAGAGAGAGAGAGAGAGAGACACTGATGTGAGAGGAGACAGACACATCGATTGCTGGGGACAGGGAGTGAACCTGCAACCCATAGTTGCCCTTGACCAGGAATTAAATCCAGAGACCCTTTGGTGCGCAGGCGGATGCTCTAACCACTGAGCACATCAGCTGGGGCAAACTCACTTTCTTAATTAACCCTTGAGCTGAGGAGGAAAAGACTGATTAATATGTGTTGAATTGTTCATTGTAAAGACTTTCCTCATAATTTTAGACTTTTGTAAGCTTTGTTTCTTTCTTTAAAAAAAAGTAATATTGACTGAAAACTAAGGAAGTATTTTAGAAAGTAAGTAAAAATAGAGAAAAATGCTAATGCTCATCCATTAAAGTTTATTTGAAACCACATGGGCAGAGTCACAGCAGTCACTACACTGCTAAAAATTAGAATCATACCTAGAAGGTGAATTTTTAAAAGAAAACATGATATTTATAATGCAGTTTGTTTCTAACATTTTAACCGTGATACTAGCTTGTCTTTTCTGACTCCTTCTAGAAAGGTGATTCCTTTATCTCCTGGTTTTCATTACCAATTCCAAATGGTGTCTGATTTTTGCATTCATCAGTGGTTCAAAACACCTTGCTTAAGTTATCGTAATTATAAATAATACACGCTAACATTTATTCATTTAATGAGCACTGACTATATGCCAGGCCCCATGCCTTTGTGAAAGTTATTATTTCCATTCTCCAGATGGGAAATTGAAACAAGAAGTTAAAAGTCTTGCCCAAGGTCACATAGCTAGAACCCAGGAAGACTGGCTATAAAGCTTAATACTTTATTAGTAGTTTTCTTAAATATGTTGTATTTTAAAATGTGCGAATAGTATAAGGAATAGTATATGATTTTACTGAGAGAAGTGAAAATTCCATTTAAATTGGTGTTTAATTCAGTAAATATTGAGCACCCACTTTTTGCCAGGTATTGAGTGGCTCCTCGTAGGCTCTGGATGGTCATGAAGATGGGACATGGGTGTGGAGAGTGTCACAGGGGAAAATGACAGGACAGGAGATTGTACCCAAACTGATCATATTGTGGCTCCTTCTCCCTCTTATCAGTCATTTGCAGTGGCTAACATGGAGGGTTGGGTGAATGAAGGAGGGTGACAGAGATCATTTGTTTGGCTGCAAGTTTCTTAGGGTGTGCCATTGTCCCAGTAGTCATAAAACAGGGTGGCACCATAATTAATGTTGTATGATAGCCTATAATTTAAAAGAGCACTTTTCATAAACATTGTGATTTGAACCTTATAAAATCCTTTGATGAGGAGGGCAGATATTGTCTCTCTTAGAAATGAGAGAACTGAGGTCCAGAGGGACTGAGTGGCTTGCCTAAGGCCACAGTACTTATGGTAGCTCCTTACACTACACATTAGTCCCATTTTTACACCAAAGTGTTTCAATAGTGAATGTAATTTAATACTTTGGCTATGATCAGGAAAACCCTTCAAAATCTTACATTACCTAAAATATGAGTGATCATTGTAGTATTTAAAAAAAAAAGTTTTTATTGATTTCAGAGGGGGGGGGAGAGAGAGAGAGAGAAAATTCAATGGTAGAGAGTCGCTGATCGGCTGCCTCCTGCACGCCCCCAGCTGGGGATGGAGCCCACAACCTGGCCATGGGCCCTGACTGGGAGTCGGACTGCTGCCTCCTGGTTCATAGGTCAGCGCTCAACCACTGAGCCACGCTGGCCAGGCTGTAGTATTCTTTTGATACAAAAGTATTAAATAAGAGACAGGACTATGATTTTAAGAACCTGTTTGAGAAATTATTTGTTTCAAATAAATCCATGATAGGAGCACTTGCCATTTTCACTCCTTTTTATGAAAACACAAATTTTTGTTATTTGTAAGTCCGCATTTATAACGTTTGCCAGCACCCATTCTGGGCCCATTGCACATATTAACTCGTGTGTATATTTTTTCAGTTGATGTTGTCAGTCGCCGTATTAAATTGTTTACCTTCCTTACTTCATTCACTCACAACTATCCCATTATCCCTGTTAGATGAGGAAAATTGGGGCGAGGAGAGGAGGTTTGAATAGCTGGACTGGAGCGCCATTGCCGTGTCCACTGTAGACCATATTAGCTGACACAGTAGCAGCCACAGTCTGAAGTTGCTATTGGGTCCCTTCTAAGTCTCCCAACAATTCGTCTTTTGAAACCCAGGCTGCAGAGACTTGTGAAGTGCCGGCTACCCGAGGACTAGCTGAGGATGAGTGCCCTTCAGTTCTGCCCTTATGTGAATATTCTGACCACAATTTATGTTGGTAAAAGCCTGCTTCATTGTCATCTCATGCAGAGAGTTTTCCAGAAGCACAGCCTTGATGTGAGGATAAGTTCTTTCCCAATTTGGACTTGTAGCTGCTTCCAGGATCTGTTAGTAAAAACGGAGCTGCCCCTCTCTGCCAAGAAAAGTGCTATCAAATGATGTGTTAAAAAAAAAAACACACACAAAAAAATGAAGGGTAAAGTGAGATGGCCTGACATTTTCCTAACCAGAGCTCCGGAAGAGAATAGGGAACGGAAGACAGAGAATGTTTGAAGATACAGTGGCTAACAATTTTCTAGAACTAGTGGAAAGGTAGGCCAAAAGATTATATGAGTTCGATTTAAGGATGGCAATAGCTGATAAGCAGTACTAATATTACTTAAACAAGCTAAGCAGAGGTCTAGATACAGCTTTTTAAAAGAGAAAAAGAAAAATACGACAGAGTCCATACACCAGACAGAGGTAGAGTAGTGCCAAGGGAGGCACTGATTCCCTCAAGGGAGAGGAAGGGGGAAGTTGTTGAAGAAATAGGGTCTGCCACCCTGGCTGGTCTGGCTCAGTGGTTAGGGTGTCGGCCCATGGACTGAAGGGTCCTGGGTTCAATTCTGGCCAAAGGCACGTACCTCGGTTGCAGGCTTGATCCCTGGCCCTGGTCAGGGCGCTGGTGGGAGGCAACCAGTCAGTGTGTCTCTCTCACATCGATGTTCCTCTCTCTCTCTCTCCCCCCCCCCCTTCCACTCTCTCTGAAAGAGCAATGGAAAAAATATCCTCAAGGATTAAAAAAAAAAAGAAGAAATAGTTTCTGCCCAAAGGGTTGGGTTTTGAAAAAGTTTCACCAGTAGACAAGGGTAAAGAATGTAGCAAGAGAGGAAATAGCAAAGAAAAGGCCACAGAAGCCAGAAACAGAACAAAAAACCTTTGATTTGGAAGAATGACATTTTATCTTTGCTGTGATATGGGAACGGTATATGTGAAATATATGTGAGAAGTTCTGTAAAAGATGAAATCTATTTTTCACAGGGAAATGCCCTGTCCTTTTCTAGCCTTGTGTGGGGGTTGGGGGGGGGGGCACCATAAAAGTTTCATTCTAATTTCCTCTATATTTAGTCTCATTTAATGACAAAATATTTCTTCATGACACATTATATTTTTTCCAGTGTCTCCTTTTAAACAATTTTTTGTTAACAACACCATGAACTTACTGTTGTTAACTTAATAGTTGTAAATGAAGCCTCCCTTTCGAGAGTAACTTTCAATTCTCTATCATCTGACATTCGAATACAAACTTGAGCGTTAAAAAATTATTCTCTTCTTTCAGCATCTTCTCATTTTACCATTCACGTGGTTCATCTGTGTCATTTAAACACTAGAGTCACGGTTTGTGTTGTTAGCATAAATATTTCATGTTAGTGCCAACTCAGTCTCTCTCATATGTACTGGGCCCTAGTTACCCGTGTGAGAGTTTGCAAATGTACAACGTGAGTGGTGCTAGAGGAGGGCCTGCTACAGCATTATTCCTATTTCGTAGATTATTAATTTTGATTGTGTTTTCTAGCCAAATTAGTTACATAGTAAGATTCTTACCAGCTCTTTGCTTTTACTGGCCCTTATAAATGCAGAGTCCAACATATATTTAGTATCTTGATGAATAAAGAGACCCTGTGACTTTTCTGCTTAGGAGTGCTATTTTGGGGTATAACAGGTGGGTGACTGTTGGGGAAAAGGCGTATGTGTGGTTTGGGTGAGGAGGGGGATCCTTATATGGAATGGACACGTGCTAAAACATTGTGGCTCCTTTGTGCCCACTTAAAGCAGCAGTCAGCATTAGATCTTCATGATCTTGGATTTCTAAGACCATCTGAATACTTGGGTAGATCTGTCACTGTTCAGTTTAGAAAAGTTGGCAACTTATTTAGTTGTGATGTAATATATAGCAAGGAAGCGCCCTGGGAACAGAGCACTTTAAACACACAGAATTTCTCTCACAATTCCACAGCCTAGTTCTTCAGTAACTGGGTGTGTTCATGGGTATGTGTAGTAATAAGCACGTGTGTGTGCATAGCTCGGGGAGTTGGGGAAAGTAGTACTTATATGGTTTAATCATGGCTCTATATCAAAAACCTACAGAGGCATTCCCTTTAAATTCTGGAAGAGGCAAAGATGCTCTCTCTTACCACAGCTGTTTAATACAGTACAAAAGGACTTTAGTCAGTGCTATATAAAGAAAAATAGGAGTAGCCCTGGCAGAGTAGCTCAGTTGGTTAGAGCATCATCCCGTTGTGCTGAGGTCAATACACGGTCAGGGCATAGGCAAGAATCAGCCAGTGAGCGCATGGATAGGAGGAACGACAAATCCATGTTTCTCTCTCTCTCTCTCAAGTTAAAAAAAAAAGCTAATAGCACTGTAAAGGACGAGATAAAAACTATCATTTTATGATCATCAATCTAGAAGAACCAGCAGAATTAAAAGACAAATCATTTGTCATGTTAGGCAGTTTCAAGATGAACCTAGAAAAGCATTTCTCTAGAAATAACTAGAAAACATCATTAAAAACATATCATTCACAGCAGCAACAGTATCCATAAAGCTTCTAGAACACTCCGGAGTCCACAAGACTGCCATTAAGAATACTTCACTGCAAGACAAAATCACCACCAACGACTTGTGGCTCCAGGTAGTGGCTCCCAAAATAAAAACATAAAAAATAAAAATAAAAGAATACTTCAGAATGCTAATAAAGAATATAGAGGAGGATCTGAATAAGTGGAGATACATCCTGCTCTTGGATGGGGTGACCGTACACTTACTCTAGAGTTTATACGGAGGAATAAAAGCCTAATAGCTAAGTTTTCTGTAAAGAAGACTAGGGGGCTGTTCCTGCCAAATATTAAGGCATATTATAAGACTGGTGCTTTTTTTTTGTAAATTCTCACCCGGGGATATTTTTCCCACTGATTTTTAGAGAAAATGGAACGGAGCGGGGTGGAGAGAGAATGAGAGAAAGAGAAACATAGATGAGAGAGACACATCGATTGGTTGCCTTCCACATGCGCCGGGGATCGAACCTGCGACCCAGGTATGTGCCTCTGACCAGGAATTGAACCCGAGAAGGGTGCACGGACTGATGCTCTAACCACTGCACAGCACCGGCCAGGGCAAGACAGGTGTTACTTTTTACTTTTTTTTTAAGATTTTTTAAGTTGATTTTTAGAGAGAGGAAAGGAAAAGAAGAGAGAGAAACATCGATGTGAGAGCCAAACATTGATCAGCTGCCTCCTGCATGCCCCTACTGGGATTGAGCCCACAACCCAGGCATGTGCCCTGACTGGGAATTGAACTGGCTACCAACAGACTGAGCCACACCTGCCACGACAGGTGCTATTGTTTTAAATGGGCTTTCGTGTAGGAATAGTCAGATGGAATAGAGATTTCAGAGGTAGACCACCTACAAATCAGTGGGGGAAAGATAGATTTTTGGTGAATAATGTTGGAGAAAATGGTTCACTATTGGGAGAAAAAACAACATCCTTATCTAACTACATACAAGGGTGGATTCAAGATGGATTAAGATGTAAATAGAAGCCCTGGCCAAGTTGCCTGTTGGTTGGAGCATCATCTCGTACAGCAAAAAAAGATTGCTGGTTAAATTACTGGTCAGGGTATGTGCGGGAGGCAACCGATTGATGTTCCTCACATTGATGTTTCTCTCTCTCCCCCGCTCTCCCCTCCTCTCTTCCTCCCTCTCTAAAAGTCAGTGAACATATCCAGGGGTGAAGGTTAAAAAAACAGATGCAAATAGGATAAAGGTAAAACGATAGAGTTAATAGAAGGAAATGCAGGCGAACATCTTATGACCTCGGGATGGGGAAGACCTTGAAACAAAATTTCGAAAGCATAAACCATAAGGCAAAACAAAAGCAGGAAAAAATGAATTTGATCACTTCAAAATAAGGATCTGTTCAGTGAAGGATATCCCAAAGTTCGTATGTGATAGGATGGGAGAAGGTGGTTGCATTGTCAGTAACCAACAAGGGATTAGTATCTTGAGTATGCAGATCAACAAGAAAATAGACAAAGGCTTTGAACAGGCTAAAAAGAATGCAGAGATGTCCGAAATTATTAATGAAATAAATGCACATTAAGCATTGAGATATCACTACCCTTGCTAGACTGGCAACAAGCAGTTAGAAAATTGGAAAATGCTGAGTATTGGTAGGGTGTGGGGATATAGGAACTCTTGTGCTTTGCTGCCAGGAGTTTTACTCCGTATAGCCATTCTAGGGAGCAAGCCTAGTACCGAGTCAAAATGAGGGCACACATACCCTGTGTCTCAGCAGCTCTGCCCTGGTACATACCCTCAGCAGATTCTCATTCAGGTCCTTAAGGGGACATGTACTCATTGAAGGGTCATTTGTGGTGATGAGTAGCTGAGGGACAAGGTGAGTGTCTCCACTGGGAGAGTGGAGGTAAAGTCAGGTGGATATATGCGTGGAGTATTAGGCAACAATTAGAAGCTACTGATTAGATGTGCACAGAGGAAGCTGGGTGGTTTTTAATAATGCTGAGGGATAGAAATTGAAGAATGTATGAATACACAAATACATATTTTGCAAGAACAAACAGGTAATCACTAAATAGAATGATTGCCCCGTAAGCAGGGAGGAAAATGGGAGCGGGGGTAGGTGGATTCAAAAAGATAGAAAAGTGAAAGGATGAAGAATAAAGATGAATAGAAAAATGAAACAATAAAAAATAAAACGGAATAAAGACTTCTTGAGAAGTGTCCTTAATGATCTTTAAACTGGAGTTGAATGGTAGGAGGCTGAGGACCACTCATCTTCCGTGTAGTAACTGCCTGTTTCCCGACTTATATAGGGTGGAAGCTTTAAGAGAAGCAGCAACTGCTATCGAGCAAGAGAGAGAAATCCTCCTGGAAATGATCCACAGTATCCAGAATAGCCAGGACATGAGGCAGATCAGCGATGGTGAGAGCTGCTTGCACAGACGGGGGCTCGCCTTTTACAGCCCTCTGAGGGGTTTGCGATAGCGTGGGTCAGTTTTTGCTTGACTGGTGGTGTGATGAGTTCACCAGATTTCAGCACTTAATGTGAGCAGCGGGCAACTGCTGCGGCTGTCGGCTTATTCCAAGAGCCGCTCACCCAGAGATCAGTCTTCCACTGTACTCCCCGGCTCAGGCCGTGGCCCAGAAGTGATGGAAAAAGGCCTCCAAGCTCCTTTGGCAGAAAAGCTGGCCCCAAACAATAAAGGCCAAGTATAGAACTTCAGTTCTATAGGAGTCACTGGTATGTAAATGTGAAAACAGAAAAGGTGAGGGGAGAAAATACTGACAATGGCTTTCACTGACAATGGCTTTCTGAATTTAGCTCCCTTGGTGCTTCCTTCATGGGACAAGCTAGTGGGCCAGGGAGCTGGTACACTAAATGTGCAGTGTGACTCCAGAGTCCACAGTGGGGTCAGATCTAGTCTGTCTCTCTACCATCCTGGCCAAAGATCAGTGAATTAGGAAGGAAGTCACAGAACAGGTCAAATAGGGGGTTGCTGACTTTTTCATATAAATAATGAAATGTTGACAGCTCCCCTTTTCCCATCATTGCCTCTTTGTGCTGGCCGAGATTTAGACCACTGGCCAACTTAAATTTGTCTCAAGGGGGTGAAGTCGATGCATAATTTTGACGCCAGCTTTTCTCCACTCTCATGGCTATGTTTTCTCAAATTGGGGCATTGTATTCTGATAAACATGCAGGATATGCCACCCCAAAATATGCCTCTTTGGCATAACGATATTTTGAGCTGATTATTTTTGAGAAACTGCGAACACAAGAGAAGCTCCGAAAACAGAGAGGTTACCCTTTTTGTAAGAGAAATTTACATTTATAAAGTAACTTTCCACTTGTAAGGGTGTCTCCCTCTCTATGCCAGGAAGGGGACTGAATCACAAGGAAGTCTTATCAGTGGAGAAGGTGCCCACTGTAGGTATATCTTACTCTGTTTACTGTGCTTTTCCGGGTCACCTCCCATAACTGGCTTCCTGTCCTCCCCACAATCTTTTGTCTTCAGCTGAAAATGGTATTTAAGGTGGTGGCTTGAGCCATTGCAGAGAGTTACTTAGTTTCTCCTGTATATGTGAGGTATACATGTTAATGAACTTATGGTTTTTTTCCTTGTTAATCTTTTATTGCAAGGGTTCTCAGACAGGAACTCAGGAAGACAAGAGCGAAATTATTTTTCCTCCCCTACATGCACATCCTTATGGAGAGATCCAGGACATCTGCTCTCTGCTGGCCTAACGAGCACAGAACCCTGGTTATGCTCACTGTTCACTCTGTGTTAAGACCCGATCTCCGTCCCAGTTACAGGTGCATCCCTGCCCAAACCTGCAAGCATGACAACTGGAGACGTTGTCTGGTATTCCATGTGCACAGACGTTCAGGGAAGGGTGTGCTATTCTACAACCTCCCTCTCTAATCCAGAACACCTCATCAGTTCATCTTACACGCTGTAGTTTTCACTCCAGCCTTTAGAAAATTCATAATAGAGGTGATTACAGAAAACTGATTTAGCCACAAATAAATGTGGTAGTGTTCTTGACATTGTTGGGGGAGGCAGAAATTTTTCTCTGCCTTTCTAGATCCTTTTGGCTGGTCTAATAATTAGATTGACATGAGACAGATTAACAACAGAAAAATAACCAAATGTAATTACATATGTACACATGGGAACCTCATATACGTGAGTCAGAACTCCCCCCCATACGAGAGGTTTAGAGACAGAAAGGTAAAGTAAGGTGACAGTGTGAGCTAAGGTATGAGATACGCTCTGGGGCTGCAGAGGGGAGGGGCCTGTCCTGAACCCCTTCAACATGGATAAGTTTATGTCTCATATTGATTGATATTTCCAACTTTTTATGTGTAGGAGAAAGAGAAGAATTAAATCTGACTGCAAACCGTTTGATGGGACGAACCCTCACTGTTGAAGTCTCAGTAGAAACAATTAGAAACCCTCAGCAGCAAGAATCCCTCAAGCATGCCACCAGGATTATTGATGAGGTGGTCAGTAAGTTTCTGAATGATCTGGGAAATGCCAAGAGTCACTTGATGTCGCTGTACAGTGCGTGTTCATCTGAGGTGCCACCAGGGCCAGTTGATCAGAAGTTTCAGTCCATAGTAATTGGCTGTGCACTTGAAGATCAGAAGAAAATTAAGAGACGATTAGAGACTCTGCTTAGAAACGTTGAAAACTCTGACAAGGCCATCAAGCTGTTAGAGCATTCTAAATCTCTGCAACAAAATGCTGAAAGCAGATTTAATTAGTTTCCAAAGCTGAGAGCTCTTACAAATGATATGAAAAATGATCAGATGCTATTTTAAGTAATAACTAGTTCTTTATGTTGGGCATAACCACTCATTTGATAGTGAAAGTTGTTTCAGATGATGAAAATATTCCAGTGTCATCAGTTTTGTGAACAATTAAAGTAGAAATATTTTAATTATCAGTTTTTAGATTGAATTCTTGTCTTTTACTAGGATCTAGCACCCAAGATATATATTTTACTATTCTGTTTGGATGAATGCTTCATATGCGTGGGGGAGTAAGTGCTCAGTGAGGGGCAAAAGAATCACTGTTCTTTCCTGGGCTTTGTCTGGTGTGGAGATGCACAGGCACGTGGGGCATTTGGTTGACTAGAAAGTCGACGCAGCAGCGCACACACGTCTAGTGTTGGCCAAGCAGTGTGCTTACAGAGATAAAAGGAATCACACAATTAGAACCTTTCCCTACATTCTCTCATGCAGTTTTTTAAGATATGTCAAATTATTTGGAACTTAAAGATTTACACATCTCATAATACGAATATATTTGTTGATGTACATGACAATATGAAAAATGTGAGAAAATTCACATCTGATTTTACCGTGATTCTCTAAAGTGTTAATTACTACATAAAACACAATGTTGTAACTTACCTTTAAAAAAATTAAATGGCACTATAAAGTCCATGTAAATTGTCAACTTAAAAGCCTCTGACTTACCGTCCCCTTACTAGACACTTGTTTCCAATTTGTTGCCATTACTGCAACATAACTGATGTACATAGAGCTTTTTCCTTCTTTCTTTTGTTTTTCATTTTCTTTGTATTAATTTCCAGCAGTGAGATTTACTGGGTCAAAGGGTATATACATTTTCATGGCCTGACATATTTCCAGGTTTTTTTTGTATAAGAGTTATAACAATCTATACTGTCTTCAATAATTAAAATGCAGCCATATCACTGAAAGCTTTCCAGTATTAAGCATTTTTTCCTAACATTAGGTATGAAACACCTTTAGTTTGCATTTTGTTTACTAACAAGGTTGACCAGTGTATTGATTCTTTTATCTGTAACAAATGAAGCAACTATAGAATACATTTATTTATTATTGTTATTGATATACAAAGCCCTCAACTTTCCCAAATACTACTACAAAACAAATATTTCAAACTCAGTTTTTATTAGTACTCTCTCATACTGGGAAAAAAGTTAAGATCCAGATACTTATTTTTTTATTTATATCAATAAATATGTACATATCAATGAAAACAATGTTGAGCTTTGTTTTCTGGACAAAAATGCCCAATTAGTCTCTCTTCATAAAAAGCAATTACAATCTAAGGAAATTCATGGCTGCTTTGATTGCCAGCCTCATGTCCACCTCATTTAAATTTTTCCATTTCACGGGAAGCATTCATTCTCATTGATAACCATGGCAAAGCCTCTGGATTTGTCAGCAGATTCTGATTTGCTATTACCAGGTTCACTGTCAGATAAAGATTTTTTTTTTACCATCTGTTTATCAGCTTCTTGAAAATTAAGAAACAGACAATCAAGTTTTCCTCAAGTTCTCAAGGACTGTCAGCATCTGTAAATCCTTTCCATTCAGGGAAGTAAGTACTCCCCCTTTCCACTGACTCCGTCAACCTGAGACTTTATCACAAAATAGTCCAGCGCTGCCTCCTCAACCTTTGTGTTCTTTGCAGTGTTTCTGTCTTGCTCTTTGCAGTGGTGTCTATTGGAGGCTACTTCTTATCAGAGACTTGAGAGCTGTGATCGACCATCTCCAAGCTGCTTTAGTCCCTGGTCTGCTGGTTGCCAGCTTGGGCCACATTCAAGGGGCAGCGACCTCAATGTGTTGATTCTTTCTTCTTTTTAAGAATGGAAGTGTGATTTATTTTCAAATGATGAAACTCCCAAGAGTCACATTTTTTCCTTCATTTCCTCACATTTCAACTGTCATTTTTTAATATAGGTAATAGATTTGGACTATAAGGGCATTCAGAGTATATGTGTTGTCCATGTTGGTATGTTCCCTAAGGGCCCTCACTGGGATAGGCATAACATTCTAGAATGTAATGTATAATTTTCGGACAGCCCGTTTGCCATCCCTCATGAACACTGCTTCCCAGTAGAGTTCCAATCCCTATCCTAGCTCTTGCAGTGTGAGCTAGCAGGACCTGCAGAGGAGTTGACCAGAGCAGCCAGTGCTATTCATTAACTGAAGGCAGTGACACCACTGCCCGGTTAGAAATCTGGCAGATGTAGAGTTGACCTTCCTGGCATTTTAATGTAGGAATCCCTGACATTGAAGAAGAAAAAAAAATCCCTAAATGTTGAACTGCTGGCTTCCAGCTGTGCTTCCTCCTAGTACCAGTATTGCATCCTCTAGGGGGCACCATTCACACTGTATTCTACAGGAATGGCCGGCTCCCTTTAATTTAATGAAACCTTAACCAAGTGAGGCAGTAGAGGGATGCAATGGGTGCAGGCATGGCCCTTTGTATTGGAGCTCAGTCTAGTACCCGGACAGAATTCACCCTGAAGAGGTAGGTGATCAGCTAATTACCGAACTCCGCCTCAACATTTTAAAACTAGAACCCATGAAAAAACGGAACCACCACTGAAAGAAGCAGAGTAAGGATCTGGCAAACTAAATACTGTGCAATGGTTTTTAACTAGGAAACATCCGTGCATTTGTCCCTTTCACATGATTGATAAACTAGCATTCCTGGAGTGCGTACACGATACTGTTTTTGAAAGATGGATTTACAATCGTTCAAAAACAAAAATGGAAAGAGCCGAGTTGTGGAAAAGGCAAGACAACAAGGACCAGCAGGGAGTGTGAACTTTTTTGTGTATCTGCTCATACAACCAGCATGCAAAATGAAACAGACCTTCTGCGTAGGGACATGACCACATTCTTAAGTTCTCAATCACGAACTCAGAGTAAACAGCTTGACCTGGACCACACAAATCTTTTAATTACCCACCTCAAACCACTAAATATTGCAGCAAATATGCTTCTTTTGCATGTAGTGGGCATTCGGATCACTTTGGCATTCACTCACACATTTGGTGAGGGCCGATTTCAGTATCTAGTCCAGCTTTAATATGCCACATTCCAGGGGTGACCAGAGCAGGTTAAACGGGATAGAGTTTGTGCAGGAATTTGACAAAAAGTATCAGAAAATATAGAAAAACCTGGGCTTGGAAAACCGACCTAGCATTTGGATCCAGGGAGTATTACAAATACATCTCCAAATGTAATTGTCAGACCTCAGGTCTGAAGGTAATGCTAGGCCTAAGACAAAACAGCAAAGAGGGCATCAGCTTTGCTGCAGGGAGACCTGGTGCAAGCCTCCAACCCCCTTCCTTACCAGCAGAGGGCCCCAGGCACATCCCTGCCCTCCCAGCTGTACAATGGGGGTGATAACGCTCCTATTCCAAACTTCAATGAGATACAGCACACAAGGTGCTCAGCATGGTGGCTAACAGAAGAACTTGTTAAATAAATCTGAATTCTGTTTTGTACCACAGGACAAACTAAATGTGTTATTGGGGGGGTGAAGCTGGAGAGGGAGGTTCAAAACACAAGGAAACAACTTTTCTTTAAAACAGCCTCATACTGATAGAAAAGAAACTTGGTTTCCAATGCAAAATTATTTAAACCACAGTGCTACTAAATTGCATTAAATATCTACTATCAATAAAATAAGAATGCTAAATATTGGCGGAGGATCTGAACTATGAAATACTTTTGTTTTGATTTTTAAAGAAGTCACATTATATACCTTTTACTATTTGGTTCCACACTGGTGATACATATCACACAAAACTCAAGCTTTGAAATGCATTTATTATAGGAATTCATATTTCATGAAATTTTTATTAAGTAGTATATTTTAAATTAAGCTCAAGGGCATAACTGTAACCCAATAGCAATACGTACAAGTGGTTTTCCATTCAAATTTACAAAAGCATTATTTAGTAGTAACAAAAATATAGAAGGGGTTGAGATTTCCTTTTAATCCAAAGTTTTTATTTTTAAGACCATTTACCAACATCCTACTATTTCGAGAGAGAGAAGAAAAGGAACACTAATAAAGGTTATTCCAGCTGAGCCACCCAGTTACCCGGAGTTAGGTAATTGCATATTTCAGAACCACTGTGGTTTTAAATATTTTCTGTTAGCGAACAAATTCACTTGTACGATAGGCTTATATGTTTTAAGGTGAAAACCTAAAGAGTGAGAACAGTACCCATGATGTTTGTAATTGTAACTAATAGTTAAAACTGAATAAATCTACCTGTTCATTAGACTGTGCGGTGTGAGACAAGTTTTTACAGTTCACTTTGTTTTCAGAGAAACAGGTATCTAGTAATGGGAGCACTTCAGCAAATTACTAGTAACTATTTCAAAGGTTTTAAACAGGATGCTATCAATTAATATTTTGCATTAAAATAGTTCACTTTAAGTTGGGAAATTGGGTCCTAGGCCAACTCCCCATTCTAGGATCTTCAGAAAAGACCCAAGTCCCTAAGAGTCACAGGCCCAGTGGGGTGCACTAGTGAGTTTTCTTTCTGAGCTCTGCACCCCCAACCTCTGAAACAACCACCTCACTTCACTCTGCAGTGGAGAAAGGTGTTCATCTCTTTATGATGTTAGTTTTACTTTATTTTGAAAAAGTGTCTGTGTGCTATCAACTTTGGGCAGATGAAAGAAAACCATTTGGCCTGGCTTTATTTAACTATATTGCCTTATATGCGCTGTTCTGTATGCTATTTAATTCAACAGGCAGACTGAAAGAGGAAGAGGGAGCCTCTGGAACTTGGAAATATGGCAGTTATTACAGAGCTATCTGTCTGTATGCTCAAAATGAGCCATAATGTAAAAATACATTAAAGCACAAATGCACAACCTCCTGGAGGCTTAGACAAGTTTCCTTCAGCAACCATGGTTCATTAGAAGCTAAGAGTAAAGTTAATGTTAATTTAGAAGGTTTTAGAACTAATTAAATTGAGAACATATTAATGATTAATTATGGTTAGATTTAAAATACAGATGTGCAAATTAAAATTTCAAATGTGTAACAAAGATTTCTCTCTGTTCTCTCTCACACAAAGAAAGACAAAACTAAGTACATAAAATTATATTACAAATATTGGAAACTGCAACCATCAGAGATTACATTTTTTATATAGAAACAGTAACAAACTTTTACCAACATGCATTTAATTGATATGAAATACAACTACAACATATTACACAATGTGATTTTGCTGCTACTAAAAAACATAAGACTATTTGAGGCAAAATATATTTTGTGCAAAAATTAAAGAGACTATGTTTCAAGAGGGTAAAAAAGGAAAGGTGACTCACTAGCAGGTATCCATTGACAGGAACTGAGTTTTCCCCCAACACGCATCCCACTGCCAGCAATGGGAGTGGTGACAACTGGTGACATAAAAGTAAACATTTTATATTACTTTGAAATATATAATGCCAGATTATTTCAAAGTTATGAAAAGCAAACATCCACTCTTGGTCACTTAAAGAAAATTCTATTAGGTTCTCAACATGAAGCTGGATGGGGGATGAGAATGGTGCAGATGGAAGACTTAGGAAAAAAGAGAGAAAACATACAAAAGAAATATATAAACATTATGCATATAGTACAAATAATGAAAAAGGACTTTATAGCATATTTTCCAAGAAGTTATTTTTACATATTTTGAAATCCTTTAAAAACCAGGTATATTGCAAGGGGTTATAAACAAAATCATTGATAAATGATAGTTTTAACAAGAGTTCATGCACTTATCTTAGTTGGAAAGCTACTGTCCCCTCAAATCACAAAATTTATGCTCTGCCACGATTACATATTAAAATCATTTAAAAGAAATTATTTTATATTTGTTCCTGACAGAGGTCTTGGGAAAGTGCTGTACAGACCTAAGGTTATAGAAATTTTTAAGTGATAATTTAAAAATACCATACAAAAAGGTGTAAACAAAAAGATGCTTTACAGTTGCAGGGCATTATAAAATCCATAATGTGGATTACGGTGGTGCATTTTAAAAATTGTTAGCTTAATCTTAAAAGTTCAAAATTGTGTTTTCAGTCAGCAAGGGGTGCTGGAAGCGCCACTGCACTTCCCAGGCCCTAAGGGGTAACCACAGACGTGCTGTGTCTGCCTAAGGACTTGGCCAGCACAAGCTCACTGTGCTAATGGAGGGACATGTGTAAAAGCTTTTGCAACAAGTCTCACCTGGGAGATGCTCTAGCACTAAAACATTTACACTCTTTTATCTACCCCATCAGAGAGGAAAACTGCTTTTAAAAGATATAAACAATATAAATTCTGATAGTAAAGCATTGTAAAAATTAGGATATTTTTGGCACAAAACACTTTAAATTTGAACTCTTGCAAAATATATGTCTGAAATTTCTTACTTGAAAATAAAAATTTTAACACACACACAATGTGTAAATGGTTCTATGAATGAATGAATGAGATTCTATGTTTCCGTAAATACTGCACACACCTTCGGTTTACTTCAGAACCGAGTATCTGCATGCAACAGATACCCCACACGATACAGATATTGACAAGCAATGCTGCCACAGTGCACACTAAAGCAGTCTGTCAGGACTTAGGGCGTACCTTTCAATATTTTTTGTGTGTGAGTACTTGGATTCAATACTATTTTCCAGAAAAGCTAGGTGACCAGTTTCAGAAAGGATGCTTGCTATCTTTCCTTGACCTATAATTTTACAATCCGTACCGATATATTTAGGCATTTCATTTGTTTTCCAGTACTTAAAATTCAGCAAAACCTGTTTTTGACATTTCTTACAGCATTCCTTCAAAAACAGGAGAAGCTTCGTCTAATGTAAAAAAATTAAAATGAGTCCACAGGGCAGTAATTTTTCCTCCAAAGTTCTCACTCCATTCTGAGAAGCACTGCAGAACAGTATTTAAGTCTATCAACGTTCAGAGAGCCGTTAGGTGCAAAGTCTGCTAAAAACTGTAACATACCATGATAGCTGGAAGTAGCTCTTACTGAATTGCACATTTTTTTTCCTGCCTAAAAATTTTAGGGTATGCTACAGCTGCTAAAAGGATTTCTGTTTTTCTTGGTCCTCTGTTTGTTGGGTCTAAGATTGATGACATCTCCGCCATTAAGGGTACTTAAATTCTGACCCGAGTGACTGCCACCAGATGTGTTGAAGACACCTGTAATAAATGGAAGGAAAACACAGAGGTTGACACTGACATGTCTCAGGGTTACAAACTGAATAAAGACTGTGCATCCAGCTTCTTAGTGAATCAGTAATATTTCCAAGTATTTACAGTTTTAAGCCTTTGTTTTCATGTCATTTATTTTTAATAGCCAATACACATGGTTCAAAGTTCAAAGGGTGCAAAAGGGTTCACAGTGAAGTCTCCCTTCCATCCCGTCCCCACCACCACCAGTTTTTTCCCTAAGACAAGCATGTTTTATCAACGTTCCTACGTATCCTTCCAGAGGTATTTTATACATATGTAGACAAAAATGCAGATTCTTTCTTCCTCCCTCTGCTACCAAAGGGTGACGTACTCTACACGCTGTTCTGCACCTTTTCACCAACAATTTTCAATCTACTTTTGAAATATGGAATCAGTAAGTTAATTGTAATAATTTCACTTATTAACTTTACATCATTTAACTTCCTCAAGAATACCTGACTTGTAGTTAACAACAGTATTTGTGATATTTTACGTTAATAAAAATATTACCTATGTAAAAGCCGGTAGTAATGTAGGATTTTCCTATCTAGGACAAAATAGCAATAAAATGGTCTACAGGCAATTAAAGTCATGAATAGATAAAATGGAAAAGAAAAAAAAAAAACTTTTATAGTTTACATTTTGAACTTTGCTGGTCTTTCTGAACTATTTATCATCCTGATACACAGAAGTCTGGGCCAGAGACACTATCAACAACACAAAGGTGACTATGACCAATTCCTGCCCACAGGCATTTACAGTCTCACAAAAAAAAGCTTACAGTATAATAAATGAGGTGTTAGTATACAAAGAAGTAATGCTATTAACATTGTATATTAAGTGCCATAAAAGAGACACAAGATCCCATCGATGGTTTAAAGGAAGGACCGGTAACATCTAAGTTATAAGAAAGGAGGAATTACATGATGAAGGTGGAACTGGACACCGGGCCAGGTCCTGGACTTGGATCTCTGCTTGTTTGGAAGAAAAAGCATGAGGCCAGCTATCTAGCAGAGTGAGCTTTCTAGATAGTCTGTGAGGAATAAATAGTTCTTTGACAGAGGGTGGGAAAGGGAGCTTATTCTTGGTGGAAGAACCAAAACGAGCAAAAGTGAAGAAGACAGCCCTGGGCATGTTCAAGAAAGAGCAAGACGTCTGGTGGAACTGGTGAAAGGGGTACATCTACTAGTGGAGCATGAGGCCGTACAGGAAGGATGGACAAAAAGAAACTGCCTTTAAATACTGGAATGAAGAGAGCCTGTATTTAATGTGTTCCATCATAATAATAATAAGAGAACTCGACACTCCTAAATTTAATAATCACTGATCTAACACTTTCTAACCATATTTCTTAAACAAATGAGCACAACGTATTAAAAAAAAAGTAAATATGATAATAATGAATGGGAAATAAATTTACCAGGTAAACATGGGTCTAAAATTTCCTGGGTACTTACCAATTTTGTTACTACTTGAATGCCTCAATTTTGGATCCTCAGCTACTTGTTTGAGTTTTTGAAGATACTTTTCGGCCAAATATTTAAAAACTAGAATAAAAACAACAGAAACCCTACCAGGTCAGTATGACTTATGCAGGTAAAATGTTATTTCGTATCACTATAATATTTATATTTACTAAAAAAATTTAAAATTAAATTAGAAATATACAATCTAGTTGAAAATTTCAATTTTAAAAATCTGTTTCAGCAATACCTAAGTACAATGAATGGCAATACTAATAAATATATAGTGGCATTTTATTAGTAAAGAAATGAAATATTTGTAATCATTAGCTCTTTAGTTTTAAGTACTTGAATAGTGATTAATATTCAACGACATTAAATGACTTAGTCTTGAAAAGATGTCTCATTTCTTTAGGTGAAAAAAACTACCCAGAAGACACCCGAGCAACCACCTACTTGCTACCTAATACAGTAAGTAGGAATTGTGGAATGAGAAAAATAGCAATCATCTTTCTCTAACCTCACTTTCTTAAACTAGGAAATATTATTAAACAAATTAAGGTCACTGTAACTACCTAATTGTTCTAAAACAATTCAGTAATTTTAAGAGGTACGCATGAAAAACACACACATGCACACACACACTCACACACAGTTATATTTTTAAAGATAAAAAACAAAACAAACACCCAGGAGAGTTTTGCTGTACAGTAACAAGTATTCCAGGACATTAGTAAATAATTAAAAACTCTAACTCAAAGCATCACCCTTTTAATTTTTTCTTAATGATAGGTGACAAGAAAACTCTATTCTCATTACAAATGTTTTCTCTAAACAACGCAATAGAAACATAATAAGAAAAATAAAACTTCCTGTTAATTTTTTTAAAAGGCAGTTTACCTTCATTCACATTGAGATCCTCTTTCACCGATGTTCTATAGAACCTTAGCTTTAGCTTTTTGGCCAGTGCTTCAGCTTCCTCACTGTACATCAATTAAAAAAAAAAAAAAGCTTATAAAGGTACTTTCTGGTAACTTGTTTTAAAAAAATCACTTTTATTACATTTACTGATACAGCTTGGGGAAGGAGTGTCAGATGTTCCAGACCAGTTAAAGCTGTGTTCTCAGTGCTTGAACAGGGTTTTTAGTTTTCACCACTTGTGGGGGGTAAACACCAACCATTATACTGTAACTGTAAACAGACACGTTCCATAAAGTCACTAAACACTAGCCTTAAAACAGCAAAATATTACTTTTCTTTATATAATACTTTAATTTTCTGTTTTTAAAAATCATTTGAATTTAATTACACACTGAAAATCATACACTGCATTACTTATTTTACTCTTGCTGCCAAAGTCAACATCAATATAGTAATGGCTGTCTCTATAAGAGTGGACTCCTAACTTTAGTTTTATTATGACTCCTGACTCTGGACTCCTGATTTTATGAAGGCCGTAGTGGTTAAGCTCCAAATGGTTCCCAGTGACTCCATCCCCTCCCCCACAACCACTGCCACCCTCCTCCTGGTCTTCATACTCTTGAGTAGTCTCCTCCCACATTGTAATCAAGGTTGGTCTATGGGATCAATAACACACAGATGCGATAGTATGTAATTTCTGAGACAGGTCCTAAGAGACATGCGGCTTCCGCTTTGCTCTCTTGGATTGCCTGCTGTGGGAAGCCAGCTGCCTTGTGAGAACACTCAAGCAGCCCTAGAGAGAGGTCCACATGGCAGGGAAACAAGGCCCCTGCCAACAGCCAAGTGAGTGAACCATCCTGGAAGCAGATCCTGCAGCCCCACTCAAGCCTTTGTGTGACTATAGGCCTAGCCAACATCTTGACTCATCTCAAGAAAAACTGAACCAGAACAATCCCCAAGCCATCCCAAATTCCTGACCTACAGAAACTGAAATAATAAACGTTCACTGTTTTAAGCCACTAAGCTTAAGGCTAATCTGTTATACAGCAACAGATAATATAAGAATACATAAAATAATAAGTGAAAACCAGGCAAAGATATTCAAAGCTAGCAAAGCTTTAATAATATAATGAGCAAATAGTTATAGAAAAAAAAAAATCTGGATGCTAAACTCCATTCACAAATTTGAGCATCATAGTTCTGAATATACAAAACAATATGAATCTGACCTAATCTATTTAAACTCATCAACACAGGATTCTGTCTACTTATTCTACATTAAAGCATCATTCTTAACATTTTTACTGTATCTAGGTTTGACTTAAAATGAAGAACTGGATCTGTGATGCAAAGACCAAAGATTGGAATTCTAAAAGGCCTTCAAAATTTAATCCTTTAATTTTCTCTACTTATGATTCAGTAGGAACTTTTTAAAACCAAACCAATCACATAGAATAGCTCACAGAAATGTTAAATATAAGGCGCTCTTTATATAAACTTCACTAAATTTTGTAAGTCTATGCAAAAATTAAAATAGGTTTTAACTTTATAGAATTATCACCACCCCCTCAAAAGTAGCCATCTTACTTCTTTATACAAGAATCATCCAAGAGATCAATCTTGTTTTGTACAAGTACAGTTGGTATATCTCCAACTTCAGCTACTACTTTCTCTCTCCAACTGGAAATTGCTTCAAAAGATTCCCTGTCTGTGGTAGAAAATACAAGCACACAAGCCTGGGCTCCTGTAAGGTCACAAAATAAAAATGTTATTTATATTAATGAAACAATCCTATGCAGGTGAGGCCAACTTTTACCTATCAAAACAATTTTTTATGTAAATGTTGAATTCATCATTTAACACTTTGCTTATTTCTTAACATATAAATTCTATTTTCTAATTCAAAGGACCAACTCCTACCAAAATCAGTGGTTCTCAAACTAGTACAATTGCCTAAGTACCCTCCAAATAATACACTTTGGAGGGGAGGGCACCATGAAATGCTGATGTGTTTAATTACATTCTAAGAGCTAAAGAGAATGGTAAACTAAATATGAATGATGGGCTGTTGCCAAGTTCTTCCTGTTAATACTTGTCATTTGCTTCTTAATTTCTTTCAGCACAGATTTATGAAAAATCTATGTGAAAAAAATAATTTTCTCATTCTATTTACTTTTCTAAAAATCTGGATTATCTTATTTTAGTTGCACAATACCAATGACGCTAATGAACCTCATTTAAGAACCAGAGCCAAGAGAAAAAAATATAGGATAGAAAGGGAAAAGGTTTATTTTTTTACCCTGTTTAACTGCATAATTCCCATACTATACTTACTGACCATATTTTCTCCTATCAACTATCCCATTAGGTTGATAATATCTAAAATTAAATATAAGCAGCAACCTTCTGGAAGAAGCTTTTACAAATGATTAGCTGTTGAATCAGGCCACCTGGTGACAAAAAGCAGGGTGTAGGTAACAAGAGAAACTGTCTCGGGGCCAAGAGGATTTCCTGGAACCGAGGCACGTTTTCTTATTGCTACACCTTCCTTCCAGATCCCTCAGGTGTAAGAGTTTCCTATTGAGACTCAGACATACATGCTGGCCTACCTAAGACACTATAAGGCCAAAAAAGGTTTGTTTATCACCAGAGGGAATACAGTAGAAAGAAAAAAAGCATATGATGAAAGAGAAAACGAGCAGACTGTAAAAGCAGAGGCTTCATCTGGGAAAATCTTCCCTACTACAGACAGGTTTCAAACCAAAGATTAAATTAATTATACAGAATTCGTAAGGGGAAGACAGGCAGATACACCGTGAGACTTTGTCAAAATTGAAGGAAGAATAAAACTTATGAGATCATACTAGTATATTGGTAAATAAATTTATATTTACTTGAACTGTAATATTTACTTAAACTACAAATAAAACATTATTTAATCATAGTTTAATTTTTATTTAAGTTTTATTTTAAAACTCTACTATTTAGCTTTAAACCTAGAATTTTATATCTAATCAATTGTCATTTAATTCAAGGGTCCAATAGGGTATTTCCAGGTACACAAAATATAGACACTTAAAAAAACCCTTAAGGGAAGTATGTAATTTAAAAAAACAAACAAGGAAAACTATGCAGATAGAGCCATAAATATGGGCAGCAAGAATGATTAAGAAAAACACAACTTTTTTTCCCCCAACGAAATTAAGGATCAAAGGATAAAAGAAAAAGTATAACCATAACAAGCCCCAAATTACTTAGTGGGGTACTGAGTGGGGAGAGACCAAAGGAATGTGGGAATGTGCTAAAAGTGCCTGTCTAAAGAGGAAGATGTATTACTGATATGTTTAAGTAATCAAGGAAGGTAAATAAACATTAACATATATAACAGACACCTGCAGCGTCCCCTCCGCTCAGCCCCTGGTGTCCCTGCAGCCGTGGAGACAGTTCCTGCCTGTTGCTAGTACCCTACCTCAAGCTTACGCTGCAGGTGGGTTGCACGTGGCTCTCTGCTTTCCTGCGTCAGGGCATTTTCTGATGCTTCAGAAGGGAACCTTGGTTTGTTGAATCCTCTAAGGCGAATGGATGCCTCTGGGAGGGGAAGCTTCAACTTATGGGGGATGGGATAAAGACCTCAGCTTCACTTTGGTGGGACCATCCTGAGGTGTGTCCATAGGGTTCTTCACAGGGATCCCTAATTACCTACAGCCAGTTCATTAATACACCCTCTACAAGTTTTTCTCCCTCTTTCCCTAGTCTCTTCACTTCTACTTCCTGGGATCACCACCCAAATAAATTAGCTCCACCCAGTTGTGCCAAGAACTGCTTTGTGTGTGTCCAGGGAGAGGTGGGAGGGTTAAACTAAGAGAGTACTGTCTTAAGTTAAAGGCAATCACCATAAGAATAAAGAGACAAAGTGTGCCTATTAAATCACAGGAGAAAAGTAGACCTATCCAATGTACAGGAGGAGAGAAAACAGAAAAACCTACAGAAGATAGAAAACCTGAACGAGATGACAGAAATAAGTTACAGCAAGAGTAATTACAGTCTTCAGGAAGAATGGCACACAAATAGGACTCCAGAAAGAGTAAGAGATTTCATGCTAAATTACTTTCAAGCCTGAGAAAGATGCAGTGGCTGGGAGCGAGAGTGAAAAGACAAGACCAACAGACAAAAAAGAAGAGAGCTGCATTAGGGAGTAATCTGCTCCCACTGGTGGCAACACAAAGAATGCACAAGAATTTCATACAAGTATGGAACCACATCTAAGAGATTAGCCAGCATGGGGTCATTTTAAATCATGTCCAATAGGGCCATTTATTGGGTGATGAGAACTTATCATAAAGGAAGATGGAGGTGGAATGATGAATCCCCCAAATGCAAAGCACCTGCCTGAAGTATATATTTGCCCTGAAGAAACATCCCCAAGAATGGGAACGTTGGAGGAATCCAGGATGATTTCCTAGAAAACCATTTTTAAAACATCTGCCATCCAGAAGGCGCCAACATCAGACAATAGTACCTTCCATAGTGGTCTCATCTCCCACTCTGCTCTTCTCCTAGGCCTGACCCAGGAGAATAAAGAAACATCTCTAGCAAACCAGGGAAGAAAGTGGGAGGAGACAACCAACATTCCTTTCCCAGACCACAGGTACTAACCTGCTAAATAGGACTCCAGAAAGAGTAAGAGATTTCATGCTAAATTACGTTTGGAGTTTTAATTAATCCACAGGACTGGCTATTGTCATTACCAAGTTGACATAATGTTCATGATTAGAAATAATTATGAGGCAGCTGAAAAAAATTACTGAAGATGACCAGAAAAGACACAAGAGGAAGGGGTTTTTTATTGAGGGTAGAGGAAAAGACTGCACCTCTTCCTACTGCCTAATATAAAGGGATGTGAAAGACAAAAGTTGTATTTTGGTAACTTCATGAGCGGTGCCCTGTTCAACATACTAGCTACTATAAATATTCTTAATTCAAAAATGACCCTATACTGTTATCATCAGTGGGGTGCCCTCCATTGTCTCCACAGGTTGCTGGTGGAAGTGAGCTTCTTGCAGTGTCACAAGAAAAGGAATTTTCTGAGACTCGCATGGAAGAATGAAAGGCATTTACTTGCATGGAATTAAACCCCTGAGTTTCTAAGGTCCCATCTCCCTCCGTCCCAACATGAAAGAAGTCCAGCTGTGTCCTTAGCAGAGCTAGGATTAATCCCGTTGCCCAAAGTTTCTGTTTCATACTTGTACAATCCAATCAGCATCAGGCTAGCTTAGCTTGTGTACCCAGCCACAGTCCATCAGTCCATTGCATGAGGGGTCTGCATAGCTTCTAGGAACATAGGCGAATGCATGGAAGCAGGAACAAAACCAGAGGAACAAGAGAGGAACCAGAGAGCAAGAATTCCTTTTAACCTCTAAGATTTCATGCACTGGCAGTGGCCTCACCCCCTCTAGCCAATTATCTTTGTTTCCAGGTTAGACTGACAGGCACCTTCCCTTCACCACCCTGACTTTACTGAGCATGCATCCATCTCCTTTGTTGGACCCGGTCCCCCAGTGATTTCCAGGGAATGAACTGGTAGTTCCCTGGGGTGTGTAAAGTTACAGCTTCCTGGTGAAGCTGCCCAGATGGCCATGCTTATATGTCTGGCCTCCCTTTTGCTCCTTTCCTATTATTAATAACTAGCTAATTATAATGGTAACACTGTTATCCTTTCTTTTTTTTTCTTTGACTTTCAGTTCTGTGTCAGTACCAGTCATCTTTAGGAAAATTAATGTTTTAATTTCTCTGATGTAGTCATTTGGACATATCTTACACCTTTGATATTTAAAGGCAGCAGGTGTTTTTTACTCATATATTTTATAAAGACCTTTATTTTTCTACTATTCAATCATCCTTCTATACTACCTATCCTAAGAATCACACCATTGGAAAAGTTACTTCATCATCAGAGATACCAGCAAACCACCCACAAAGGAATCACTTAAAATAGTTAACAAACTACCCCCTTATCCACACTTCAGGCAACAGACCTAAATAAAGTTTTAGTGTCAATTATAAGATCATCAACAGCAAATATTTTTTCCTAATTAATAAGATCATTCAAAAAAAGTTATTATTTCTGAATGTAATTCAGAAAATACTCCCCAAGGCACATAATATGTAGAGTAATTCTATCCTCAAATAACTGCAAGACCCTACAAGATGGTCTCTAGACTTGTTCTGAGTACAGCTGAGGGTCAGCAGCATCAGTGTCAGCTGGGAGATTGTAGAAATGAAGAATCTCAGAGCCTCCCACAGAGCTACTGAATTTGAGTCTGCATTGTAACAAGCTCCCCCAGGGAATTCATTTGCACATTAAAATTTAAGAAACACTGCTCTAGAGAACACAGTAAAATCCAACAACAGCAAAGACCAACCAGAAGCATAAGGCTTTATACACTATTATAGATATGACTCTAGATTTAAAGTGCTTGTCCCTTATTCTCTTGTACACTCTATATAACTTAAAGCATACACATTATTCAATGAACCAATCTAACACAGATTCCATGCTCCTATCATTTCAAAACAAATCTGAGACTTGCATGTCTGTTATTTCTAAATCTTGCATTTATTGTTGTAATTTATAAGTAGCTTCCTGTCCAGAGCTATTTTATTTCCAACAATTTATATTCATTTATGTTTGTGAAAGTACGTTTTAAAAATATATACATATGGGTTTCCTTCCATTTAGTGCATAGGTCTCGAGTCTATAACTTCATTTCCATATGTTGCTAGAAAGGAGCATCTTTTTCTTAGAGCCAATCACAGTTAAAAAAGTATAATGAAAAACTTGTATGTTGTATGTAACTTTCTGAACTAAGTATGGTTTCTACTGCCTGGCTAGACTTTCTTAAGAGCTTAAGAGGAATAATTGGGGATCCCAAAAGGCTTCCTAATATGATCTGTGCTCTGTTCTAGCCTATTTACAAGGAGGTCATGTTTCAACATGTCTCACTATACAATTAAGCCAGCATTCCAAGAACATAAAAATGCCTTTGAACAATGGTTTTTGGTATAATAGGTTTTTTAAATGAATTACAGTTAAAATTTTTCTTTAAAATAAAAATTACAAAATTTTTATGCATCCTGAATAATATATTTCTAGAACATAAATCAGTAAGTCATAACTTCATAAGGTATGGCATTTCACCATTAAATTCATATCTTACTTAATTCATGCTTCCTGGCCCTTTCCTCCTCTTCCTAGTCTTCATTTCTATTTAATTACATCATTATCTGAATCTATACTAGTAGTTTACCTGGTTGCCTAACTGGCATCCAGTTCCCCTCCCTTCCTGAGAACACCTCTCCCCTACTGTACATTAGCCATGGTTTAGACAGGCTAACCATACCCTCTGGTCTGGGAGTTGAGGCGCTAAATGCACCAAGCCAATTAAGGTAATCACATTCCTCTGACTACTTACTATAATCTGGTCAAGGGTGGTCTAATCAGATAAAAGCTCAGGACTTTTGATCCATTGCTATGGGGAGTAACCCTCTCTCCCCAAAGATGTGAAAACCAAGTGGCTTCCATTGCTGTTGGTAGCAACCTTGCAACTAAGAGGAAAATCAGCATGAGGAGGAACCCCACACAGGAAGGGAGACAAGCAAGAGAAACAATGGTTATAATCAGAACAAACTACTACAACTGAAAGTATGCTACTTCCACTCTTCTATTAAAGTCAATAAACCTTTGTAGTTTAAGTATCAAATTGCTTTTCTGTTGTCAGCAACCAAAAGCAGTCTGATGCAACCCCAAAGAAAAGCATAAAAGAATGTTCAGTATGCATTTCTCAAATTTATGTATAATTGCCACCGTTCCTTAATTCAAACTGAGATGTGATAAAAGGTTCATTCTCACAACTTAGAAAAAGCTGAAATTTAAGACCTGTCTCAATATCCCACCCTCTTTGCCATTCCCACCCTCTTAGCCATTCTAACATAGTTGGCTAAAAAAACGTCAGTTACATTTTAAGAAAAGCTTTTAACAGACATCTACTTATATGCTTGAGACTACTTTAAGTTAAAATGTTAAATATAGGGAAATCAAAGCCACTTAAAGCCTTTTAGTCCAAATGAAACAAAGTGGAAAGAAATTTAAACACCCATTGTAAATTAAAATGTAAATACGAACTATGAGCTCTTTTTAGTTTCTGGCACAGAAAATTTTTGGCAGACATAGTAAAGAAAAACAGTATGATCTATGGACACCTAAAGAGTACCAAACAAGACGTACACAACAAACTGGATAAGCTAAATTTAAAAAATTAAGAGACAATAATGTTGAACACAATTTTATAGCAAAAATGGAGAAAGCATTAATACCTGAACTACAGTGCAAATTAAAATATCTTTAGCTACATGTTTTTAATGAGGGACCCAACTGCTCTACTTAACTGCATGGTTCCAACATTTTCTCCTTTTTATTTATATACAAATCAAATCATTTTTGGCATTTGACCAGTTTTGCCTTTTTTTTAAGTTAAACTTTATCTTGAAATAATTGTAGACTCACACAGTTTTGCCTTTTTTTAAATTAGAGATACATAATAATAAATACATTCTCCAAAAATAGCATACTAGTTAGAAAGTAATACTATCATATCAAATCATCAAAAGCCTAAAAAGAAACAGCCCGACCTATTTTTTTTCCTCACAAAAAGAACACAGAGTTCATGGCAAGACTTTATAGAGAAAAAACTAGGTAGGTAAAAAGAAATAACGACAGTCTTATACATTCCTACTACTTGTTTCCACCTAGGTTTTCTGTTTGTTTTATTTTTTCCTGTGTATTGTGGGGAGAGGGGAGAAGGCAGTTGTAGTAATAACCCTACTAAAAAAAGTACAAACAACCTTTACTCAAGAATACACTTTATATTGAGGACCTGTTATTCGACAATGTCAATGCTTGTGAAATTCATAATCTGATAAGAATACCATCTATTTTAAGAGCTTTGGAGAGTAAGAGTATAATTTCACCTCACACCATGATATAGGTGAAGTGCTCGAGATCCAAACTGGCATCCACAGGAGTGATAATCAAAGCTACTGTAGATGGGAAGCCTTTAAGGGCGCAGTAAAAAGAGTGAGCAGTACGGAATGGTGACATTACTAGGATGACACCTGAGAGGTGTACCTCTCTTATTTCTCAAGGAGCCAAAATGTTTTCTTAGAGTGGGCAGCAGAAGCCAAGTTTCCTTGGTACCAATTTAGAAAGGCAACATCTTTGGTTGCTTATATGTTAGTGTAATTATGTTTTTATTAGACCTCGTTGCCATTATTATAATAATTCCCACATTTTCAAAAGTGGAAAAAACAACATACATGTTCAAAAGCCTCAACAGGCTATAATGCTACATGGTACTAGAATAAGCTTTCAGTTACTTTGCTCTCATTATAATCACCACTGGCAGTGAGTTGGAGAAACACTAAAAATGCTGTCTTAAATTCCAAAAGAAAAGGACATTTTATAAGAAAATATAATGGAAACTTAGAAATCTAAGCTCTTCCTGAGGAATTTAACCTTGCATTTTAGCATCTTAAATCCTACAGCTGTAGTTCTTTCCTTTCACATGTATCTCACACTCCTTTGAACTCCTACAGCACTGAAAAGGCTTTACCCATGAAATTTCATGTGTCATATCGAAATGTCATCTTATTTTCAGGGGCTTTACTCTTTTATATGATAGTTTCCACACTTCCTTGGGGTCAGAGGTAGGCATTTAACAGTTTCTGACTGATTAGGTCTGGGAATGCCTATATAAGTCATGTAATTCTAAAGGCAGAGACCAACAGTCCATAGTACAAAGGATCATTTACCACTCAACAAGACCCTCAGAAGAATAATGACCTGGCATTAAAAAAAACACCACCTTGAAATAAATTTAAGTATTCTTAAGGAGAAACCTTTCTATGAGAAACAAAAAAGGCAAAGTTCTTTGTTTAGCCAAAAGAACATGCCCAAATAAACAAAATCCCCCACAATGTACCTCGATAGTAGGCCTTTGTTATTGCATCAAATTCCTCTTGACCTGCCGTATCCCATAACATTAATCTGACATCTTCGTCATTAACTCTGAAACAAGATAAATTTCATAAGTAAAAGAAATGTCTTTAGCGATATAGCTTTGTGTACATTTTTATTTTTCAAATTTGAAGTATTAAAACAACATTGTTGGTTTCACCCTGAAAAAGTCTGAGTACTTTTAAACGCTGATACAGTTACCAAAATGAAAGTAAGGGTGGAAGACATTCCCGCAAAGCTATAATTTTACACGATTTGGATTTACCTGGCATGTTTTTTCCTTTGACAACCGTGACAGTTAGCCATGGCACTAAGACTAGTAGTATTGGGAAAGAGGGTCAGTGCTTGCTCTCCTCTCTACACCATTCTAATGAGTTCTGGTGCACATGTGATAGAATAAGAAAGGAAAGCAGCAGCTTACCTGCTTGGTTGCCTTTTAACTCAAAAATTTACTCTATTTGGTCATACAGTCCATGGTCTTATTCATGGTAGTTGTGTTCTATAAAGTCACAGCAAACACTGAATTAGCAAATACTAAACTACTGCTCTTAGGAGAAATATAGGGTTAGAGTCCTGTGAGCCCCTGGTTACATTTTCATCAACTGATGAAATAACCTTGTTTTTTGTGTGGTTCTGTTTAAAGACACCTTATTTCACATATGTTGTTAATTCATTAACATTGAATTCACAGCCTACACCACTATAACTTATGCCTGAACGAAGCCTATCTAACACACGTATTTTCTCTGTAAGGCACATCACACACAGCCTTCTTGCACTTGGGGTCACTAGACAGCATTTCAGCACTATGCTTGGGGGGCATCTTAAACAGCAAAATCACCAACAAATAGCACAAAAATGTGGCACAAAAACAGAGCACTAAAAATTCACTGTTTACAGTATGAGATATGAAATAAAAGGAAAGACAGTTGCCTTGTTCCACCTAGGCTGGGAATCTGTGGGTAGGATGACTCAAAGTTTTTGCTGACCCGTGCATGTCTATGAATGACCACCAAAGCACTGGGAGTACTCATTCTGGGGTTATGAATAAATTTTATCAAGTAGGTGAATTTGCAAATGCAGAATCCACAAAAAATAAGAATCAACTATATACTTAAAATATTAATTTGGTTCAGATAAGAAGTACAAAAAAAACAAACATCATCAACACTTAAAATGACTCCTCTTCAAATATCTAAAAGAATTAAATACGAAAATATTTTTAAAAGCAGGGTCACAGAATACAAATCAGAAATTCAACAACCTTTAAAACAATGAACATAATTATCTTTGATGCTAATGTCTGGGCTAGTTAAGTCAGATTTGTTTGATGTTATTTATTTCTGTAATACATTTTAGTTTGTCTATTACAATTTAAGATAACCTAAAAAGTTCTCAGGACTAATAACAAAAAGTGTCACTTTGATGTGTTTTAGAACCCAACTGGATTTCTTGAAGTAAGATTTCCTTTTCATAGAAGTACTTAATCCTCCCAAATCTACTTTCTCTAGAATAAAAACAAATGAATAATTATTAATTCTCTAACTTCTATATAGTCTTGCCTCGTTTTAAAAAGAGAAGAGACATTCTAAACAAAAGGGCTCCCATAATGTAAGAGAAGAGCACTATTCTGATAGACACGTTAACTCCCTCCAAAAAAATTGTGGATGGAAATTTTCACTAGAGTCAAGCATCAGTTTGTGTTTAAGAAGTGCCTAAAGTGCCACCAATATATATATAATGGATGTAAGATAAAATAAAAAGAGAGGTGGGAGAGAAATAGGAAAAAAATGTAAAAACATGAAAGGAAGGGGAAAGAGATGAAGGTGGGGAGACAGAAGGACATAGATTCACACAACGTAAGTAACTGCAAACCACCAGCAGCTGCCTCATGACCCACTGCCACCGGATGCCTGACCTCGGACTGGACCGGAATTAGTCACCATTATTCTGACGGAGCCTTGGACACCGTTCACAGACCGAAACCAAGAGGATTAAATGGCCAAGTACATACTGGATTTGTCGCTCCAAAAAATCAACTCCGATGGTTTTCTTGTAATCTTTTGTAAAAATGCCTTTGCAGTATCGCTGAATCATGCTTGATTTTCCAACTGCTCCGTTCCCAACAACCACCATCTTGATGGCCACTTCCATATCTTCCTCCAACATTTTTGGAGTTGAAAAGGCTTCTGTACCAACTTTAATTCCCACTGGTCAGATCCTCTTTCTCAAATCTGTGGTTTAAAATGAAAATAAAATTCTTTTTCATGACATAAAAACTGTACACAATAAGCTATAATTGTTTCATCAAGAAATAATTATATTAAATTGCAAGAATTTGTTTCCATGATGAAGGCCCCCTCCCCACTCTGTTTAACTAATATAAATTCTTTAAAACAGGGGCCACAATATTATTTACTTCTGAATCCTTACAGATAGCAAAATGTATGACATTCAGGGATTAATACATGCCTAGATTATACAGTTTTGCCTTTCACAAAGATTAAAACTATGGATGGTTAGAGATGAGGCCTGATTTAAAGTTCTATTTACTAGTTCTGCACTCTTAGTGAAGTTATTTCTTAACCTCTTTAAGCTCCAGTTTCCTGATGATGTTTACCTCACAGGGTTGTTGATCAATGGTACTTATAAAGCACCTAGCTCGGTGAAAGTTAAGCATTCAAAAATTGGTAGTTATATACATCATAATAAATCTTCCATATTTACCACCAAGTGGGAAACAAATACAAAACCTAAAGAAACTGCTTTTCGACCTCACAGGTAATTAATGTCCACAGAAACGCATCCCAGGAAAAGGTTTTGTATAATAATGCACAACTGTGTGATGCCATCGGGCTCTTAGTTACAGTGCTTTAGTGTTCAGGTTACAACGAGTCCTCTACAGATAATCTTGTACCACACATTCTTTCTTTAGAATTTAGTTTGGTTGGTTATTGTTACTCATATAATGAAAGTAATAGAACAGGCACTGTTTGCATTTTAGACTGAAAAGAACAGAAAGTCAACTTCTTCATCTTCTTAAAATTACTAGTTAAGTTCCCGCCCACTTAGCTATTATATTCCAATTACCTTAACTGAAAAAAAATCCATCTATACAACCACTACACAGAGAATTGTGAAGAACATTCCTTTCTTTGTCCCTAATGAAATTAGTTTCAGTCATCGTCCCAGTGCTTCATAAACTTGCACGATCAGAAGAATCATCTAGAAGCACTTGTTAAAGTACTGGTTCTATGTCTCCACCTCAACAAATTTAAATAATTAAAAAATCCCAAAAACTTAGAATGAGAACAAAAGAAAGAACATGGTAAATGCAAAAATATGGGTAAATACAACAGACTTCTCCTCGAGTGTTCTAAATTAGGTTTGACAGTTCAAACAAAAATTGTAACACTGTCCAATGTAGTTTTCAGTATATGTAGAGAATATACTTAAAACAGTGAATGCAGGTGGAAGGGGGTAAAGAGATGTAAAGGGAGGTAAGGTTTCTATGCTTCATTTGAACTGGTAAAATGTTGACGCCAAGAGATTGTGATAAATTACATATGTATAGTGTAATCGCCAGAGCAGCCACTCAAGAAGTTACACACGGAGACATACGCAAAAACACTACAGATAAAACAAATGGAAATTCCAAAAACGATAAAACTATCAGAATCTAATGAACATGAAGAAACCTGTCCACACCGAGGCAGAACATATGTTAGGCTATAAAACAAACCTCAACAAGCTTAAAATGATGGGATTACAATGGAATCAAGCTAGAAAGCAGTAACAGAAAGATAACAGGAAAATCTCTAAACATTTGGAAACTAAAAACACAGACCTCTAAACAATCTGTGGGCCAACAGAGAAGCTCAAGGGAAAGTTTAAAAAGTAATTGAACGAAAATGAAAAGACATGTCAAAATTTGTGGGACATAGCTAGTGTGCTGAGAGGGAAAATTTACAGCAGTGAATGCTTACCTTAGGAAAAAGGTCTCAAATCAATAATCTAAGCTCCCACTTTGAGAAAGGAGAAGACGATGAGGAAATAAACTCAGCATGAGCAAAAGGACGGATGCCAATGAAACTGAAAACAGAAAAATAGAGAAAACTAATGAAACAGAAAGCTGGGCTTCTGAAAAGACCAAGAAAGTTTATAAACAGAAAAAAGAAAACACAAATTACCAACATCAGGAATAAAATAGGGATTATCACTACAGACTGCAGACTCAAAAGGATCACACCAAACAACTCTATACACATAAATTTGACAACTTAGATGAAATGGACCAATTCCCTGAAAAGTATGAACTGCCACAACTCTCCTACTATGAAACAGATAATTTGAATAGCCCCATAACTATTAAGGAAATTGAATTTGTAACTTAAAAACTCAGAAAGAAATCTCCAGGCTCAGGTGACTTCATTGGAGAATTCTACCAAACTTTTCAAGAATTAACACCAATGACACACAATCTCTTCCAGAATATACAAGAGGAGGAAACACTTCCCAATACATTTTATAAAGCCGGCATTATCTTGATACCAACACCACACAAAGACATTACCAAAAAAAGACAATATTCCCTCATGAGTACAGATGCAAAAATCCTCAACTGCCCTGGCTGGTGTGGCTCAGTTGGTTGGGCATCATCCAGTGCACCAGGCGGTTACGGTTGAATTCTTGGTCAAGGGCACATGCCCAGGTGCTGGTTCAATCCTGTAGGGCGTGCAGGAGGCAGCCAATTGATGCTGTGCTCTCACATCAATATTTCTCTCTTTCCCTTCCCCTCTGTCTAAAAATTGATAAACTATGCTTTAAAAAAATATCACCAAAATGTATGTAAATCCAATCCAGCAATATATAAAAACAATAACCAGGACCCAGTGGGCTTTATCCTGGAAATGCAAGGCTGGTTCAATACTCAAAAATCAATCAATATAATCCACCATATTAACAGAGTAAAGAACAAAAACCACATCACCCTATCAATTAATGCAAAGGAAATTTGGACAAAATTCAACAGCCATTTGTGAGAAAAACTCAGCAAACTAGAAACAGAAGAGGACTTCTTCAACCTGATAAAGGGCATCTACAGCTACCACCTCAATTAATTCTGGAAGACTGACCGTTTTCCCCCTTATAGGAAATGTCCATTTTCACTTCTCCTATTTATCATACATGGAGTCCGAGCCAGGACAATAGGCAAAAAAACAACAACTTACAGATTAGGAAAAAAAGAAAGAAAAACTGTCTCTATTCACAGATGACATAGCTGTCTATGTAGAAAACGCCAAGGAATTAAAAAAAAAAAAAAATCCTGGAGCTAATACGTGAGTCTAGTGAGGATGCACGATGAAGAGCAACATTCAACACTCAAATGTATTTCTATATCCTAACAATGTACAATTTGAAGCCAAAAAGTTTTTTGGTTTTTTAAAATACATCTTTATTGAGTTCAGAGAGAGAGGAAGGGAGAGGGAGAGAGAGAGAGAAACATCAATGATGACAGAGCTGTCCCTGATCGGCTGCCTCCTGCACACCCCCGACCAGGATCAAGCCCGCAACCTGGGCATGTGGCCTGACCAGGAATCGAACCTCCATCACCTGGATGCTCAACCGTGAGCCACACTCAGCTGGGCGAAGCCAAAAAGTTTTAAATGACATTTATAAGAGTTCCAAAAATATCAAATACTTTGGAATAAATGTAACAAAACATGTACAGGATCTGTATGTTGAAAACTACAAAATGCTAATGAAACAAGACCTAAATAAATGGAAAGACATATTATGTTCTTAGACAAGAAGACTCAATAAGGTAAAACAACAGTTCTCCCCAAATCAATTTATGGTTTAATGCAATTCCAAAGTAACAGCAGGAGTTTTTGTAGTTACAGACAAGCTGTTTTTAAACTTTATATGGAAAAGCAAAGGAACTATAATAGCTAAAACAATTTTGAGAAAGAATAAAATTGGAGGAAATAATATTACTATATACTAACACACTATAAAGTTACATTAATAAAAAAAAAGTGTGATACTAACAAAGAGAAAGACATAAATCAATAGAATAGAACAGAGGTCCCCAAATTAGACCCACACAAAGATAACCAATTGATTTTTGACAAAGGTGAAAAAACAATTCAAAGGAGAAAAGACAATCTTTCCAACAAATGGTGATGGGAAAACTAGACATTCATACGCAGAAAAAGTAAACCTCCCCCTAAACCTCATACTTTATACAAATAATTCCCCCAAATGAATCACAGATATAAATGTAAAACTGTAATTTTTAGGAAAATACTTTTAGAAGGTAAAAATCTTCTTGACCTGGACTTAGGCAGAGTTTTTAGATATGATACCAAAAGATCCATAAAACGAAAAATTGATAGACATCATGAAAATGAAAAATTGATAAATTAGACGTCATGAAAATTAAAACATTTGCTCTGTGAAGGACACTCTCAAAAAGAATGAAAAGACAAGCTACAAACTGGGAGAAAATACTTGCAAAATACATGTGAAACGAAAAACTGTATCCAGAACATACAAAGAACTCTCAAAACAACACAAGAAAGCAAACGACCCAATTAAAAAATGGGTAAACTCTTGACCAGATACTCGCCAAAGATTATATATGCCAAATAAGCACATAAAAAGATATTCAACATCTTTAACCATTAGTTAAAGACACATTAAAACCACGAGACACCACTACATGCCTACTAGAATGGCTGAACTTAAAAATACTGACCATGCCAAGTGCTAGAGAGGATGTGGAGCAACTGGTACTCTCACATGCCCCTGGTCAAAATGCAAAATGATACAACCACTATGGAAATCAGTGTGACAGTTTCTTATAAAGTTAAACATACTTTACATGACCCTGCAATTCCACTCCTACCAATACCCTAGAGAAATGAAAACTTAGGTTCACAAAAAAAACCTGTACACAAATGTTGCCAGCAGCTCTATTCATGATCGCCAAAAACTGGAAACCACCTGAATGTCCTTCAATGATGGATATATAAACTGTGGCACATCCATCTCATAGAATACTACTTAGCAATATATGCATTCTAGAAATGATCAGTACAGATGGTCCCAGACTTACATGGTTTGACTTACGATTTTCAACTTTACGCTGGTGTGAAAATGACAGGAATTCAATAGCAACCATACTTCAAATTTTGCATTTTGACCTGTTCGCAGGCTAGTGACAT